GATTGAAGGCCAGAGGTCGGGATTGGAAATAACATGGACAATGGCTGGATGGTCAAAGTGCACAGATTGCAGACTGCTGTGGAACCTCACTCGCACCCCCCAAGAGATCAAGGTGGGTGGGGAATGGGAGACTGGGAAGGGGTGTGGGAGAAAGGGAGAGGAATGTGAGAAAGATCATAGAACCCCTATAACATGAAAGCCGGTCATTCGGCAATCAAGTCCACACCGACCCTCCGAAGAGCATCCCACCCAGACCCATCCCCCTATCCTATCCCTGTAACCCTGCATTTCCCATTGCTGATCCACCTAGCTTGCACATCCCTGGACAATGGGCAATTTAGCATGGCCAATCTTTGAAGTGTGGGAGGAAACAGAAGCACCTGGAGGAAACCCACACAGACACAGTGAGAATGTGCAAACTCCACACAGACAGTCACCCAAGGGTTGAATTGGATCCAGGTCCCTGGCGCTGTGAGGCAGCGGTGCTAACCTTTGAGCTACCATGCTACTGATAGGAGAGATGGAGGAGGATGGGAGAGTGAGGGAGGAGGATGGGAAAGAGGGAGGGGGATGGGAGAGAAGGGGTGTGGTACAGGGGGAGGAGAATGGGGGAAGAAGGAGTGTGAGACAGAGGCGGGGAATGGGAGAGTGGGAGGGGGATGGGAGAGAGTGAGGGAGGGAATGTGGGACAGAGGGCGGGGAATGGGGAACACTCACTGACACAAAGGTGATGTTGAGATCACACCCAGATCAACCACAATCTAATGGAATGGTGGAGCATGATCGATGGACTGAATGGCCTAATCTTGCTCCTAAGGCCTTTGTTTCTATGTTGAAGACTGCAGGCAGATGTAGGTACTCATCAAGCATCTAGCTGTGCAAAACCAATTAGGTTTATTGTTGTGCAGCAAACTCCTCCAATAGCTCAGGAGAGGAACACACAGGCTGGTGTGCTACTGGAATAGGCTTGTTCTCTGAGCTGCTTAAATCCTCTCTGCTAAGGCTGGACACTGTAGGGTTCCAACCCCACCCTGACTGGCCTGGCATCTCCTGGTTAACATTGGACACTGCTTCAGTTGATCAAGGAGGAAAAGGAGAACTAAATCAGAAGAAAGAGTTATCTTTTGTTTTCACCTTTCTTGAATACTTTTGCTTTTTATACATCCAAATACTAGAGCGGGGGGGAAGTGAAATAGTTGGCTGTCTGCCAGTCAAGAGTCAACCCATTGAACGACAAACAGGCTGCTCACTTCTTGATTGTTTCTGGGAAAAGAGCGTACCATGAGGATGGAGATATTGAAGGATCAACGGCGAGGGCAGTTGGAGGCAGGAAGTCATAGGATGAAACCTCCCTGAATAATACCAGAGTTGGCAGCTGTAAGTACAGGTGTAACCCTTGGTCTCCAGGTGGAACACATGCAGCTGACCATATGTCATATCGCCAAGTGTGCAGACAATGCAAAGCTGGGAGGGAAGGTATGTAGTGACGAGAATGCAGAAATGCTTCAATGTGATTTGGACAAGTTGACTGAGTTGGATAATGCATGGCAGATGATGTATAATTTGGATAAATGTGTGGTTATCCAAGGCAGCAGAAACAGGGAGGCTAATTATTTTCCGAAAGGCAATAGATTGAGAAATGGAGAGGTGCTATGGTGTCCTTATACACCGCTCACTGAAAGTAAACATCGTAGATGTAGCAGGAAATGAAGAAGACAAATGATATGTTGGCTTCATAGCAAGAGGTTTTGAGTACGGGAGCAGAGTACAGGAGTCTTACTGCAATTGTGCAGGGCCTTGGTGAAACCACAACTTGAGTATTATGTGATAACAAGGTGTAGAGCTGGATGAACACAGCAGGCCAAGCAGCATCATAGGAGCAGGAAGGCTGACGTTTCGGGCCTAGACCCTTCATCAGATTTTTCATCCAGCTCTACACCTTGTTATCTCAGATTTTCCAGCATCTGCAGTTCCTCCTATCTCGAGTATTATGTGCAGTTTTGATCTCCTTACTTGAGGAAGGATGTTCTGACTTGGAGGGAGTGCATTAAAGGTTTATCAGACTGACTCCTGGAATGGCAAGACTGACATATGAAGAGAGATTGAATCGGTAAGGGCTATGTTCATGGGAGTTAGAAACTTATAAAATTCAAAACAGGAAGAGACAAGGCAAATGCAGGAAGGATGCCCAGACCATCCAGAACCAGGGGTCACAGTCTGAAGATACAGGATAGACTGTTTAGGACTGAGATGAGGAGAAATTTCTTCACTCAGACAGCGATGAGTCCACGGAATTCTCTGCCACAGAAAGCAGTTGGGGCCAAAACATTGAATGTTTTAAAGGAGTTAAACATAGTTTAAAAGGTAAGGGGTGAAAGCAGGACCAGGGACTGAGCTGGATGATCAGCCATGTTAGTATTGAATGGTGGAGCAGGTTTGAAATAGCCTACTTCTGTTCCTATTTGTTCTTCTGTGTTTAATATGGACCCAAAGACAAATTAAACGCTGCCATTTATTTAAATGAGGAAACCTGCCCCACAGTCCCCATGATGTGATTGAATTGGCTGAACAATGCCCCTAATAATAAGCACCTGATTGGCCCACGAACCCTGTGACAGACACATGATCCAAGGCTGTTGGAAGCTACATGTACATTTCACAGCATAATGTTCCATATAAGTTCACATTAACCCTAACTGGGTCACACTGTGTGTGCTGTCAGGGTCTCTGACACACATCCTCCAGCCTTCTAAAATCAATATCAAGTTCAACAATTTTAGGGCTTAAGGTGCCTTCTACCGCATCCTTACCCCAACCCCTACACACCAGGCTTTATTATCACATGGTCTGATAATGCACTGTTAACCACTAATTCTCTGCATTAGCAGCTATTCATTCTCCTCAGCTGATTGTTATCCACTCCTTTGTCTGTCCGACTGTCCTTCTCTTTTCTAAGGAAGGGTCACCAGACCCGAAACGTTAACTCTTATCTTTTCTTCACGGATGCTGCCAGACCTGCTGAGCTTTTCCAGCAACTTCTGTTTCTGTCCTTCTCTTTTTTCGGGCTCTATCACCATCTATTGTTTACTCCCTGCCTGCGCCCCGTCTTCTCCGTGGAAACCAACTTTTTTCCTAGCTACCATCAGTTCTGAGGAAGGGTCACTGCACGTGAAATGTAAACTCTGATTTCTCTCCACAGATGCTGCCAGACCTGCTGAGGTTTTCCAGCAACTTCTGTTTTTGTCACTGAAACACAGCCAGCACCTGGCAACCCAGAGATAATATGCTAAAGGATTTTCACACTTTGAAACCTTCCACTTAGAACCAAACCTGTCCTTTGAGATTATTTTTCTGGTGCTGATTGTTTTACTGTTTTGGGATGTTAGATTTGAACCAGAATGGAGCACTGGAGATGGTGGCACGGTGGCTCCGTGGTTAGCGCTGCTGCCTCACAGTGCCAGGGACCTGGGTTCGATTCCACCCCTCAGGCGACTGTTTGTGTGGAGTTTGCACGTTCTCCCCATGTCTGTGTGGGTTTCCTCCATGCGCTCTGGCTTCCTCCCATAGTCCAAAGATGTGCAACTAAGGTGGATTGGCCGTGGTAAATTGCCCATAGTGTCCAGGCTTGGTAGATTAGCCATTGGTTAAGGTGGGTTTATGGGGATAGCGTAGAGGGATGGGTCTGGTAGGATGTTCTTTGGAGGGTCAGTGTGGACCCAATGGGCCAAATGATCTGTTTCCACACTGTAGGGATTCTGTGATCTGTTCTGGTTCCTGACTGGATTAGGGAATATGTGTGGTCAGAGATCAGCACAAATTGAAGGCTAACAGTTGATGCACACTCAAGGCCCTGGGATCTCCTGGGCTTATTCTCATTTGCCGAAACAGGTCACAAGGGACTATCCCAGAGGTCTTCCACCCCTTACTGGTCCCATCTCCCAGGTGATTCCATAGCTGTACATGTTTGGAAACGGAGAGTGGGAAGTGGGATAGAAACGTTTAGTCAGGATGCTCCTGTTACAAGGGATGTGGCACAGGTTTATTAGACAAGCTGACCATTTCCTGCTGCTATTGTAAGAGCTACAAAACCCAGTTCTCACCTTAGAGTTTCCCTGATTCATTTCCTTGTTCTGGATAAGGGCTTAGGTTTTATTTGGTGTCATGAGCTGGGTCCTCATTATTGGTGGAGCTGTGAGTCTGGAACTCAGTGCAATGCAGGACTCTAAAACGTTTGTGACTTGTGAGGCCCCAGTAGGTACAATATCAGTCAAGGTTAGTTACCAAAGGATTACAGCAGAGTGAGTGACAGCCAAAGGGGTGTGAGGGTGATACCTTCAATCACATTCGCTGTTGAATTAGCTGAATAGATTAGTGGTAAAGATCTTACAATTAACCTCAGCACCGCAGGTTAGTTTGTGTGTGTGTGTGTGTGTGTGTGTGTGTGTGTGTGAGAGAGGGAGAAAGAGAGAGTGTGTGTAAGAGAGAGAGTGTGTGTTTGTGTGTGTGAGAGAGAGACAGTGTGTGTGTGTGTCTGTGTGTGTGTGTCTGTGTATATGTCTGAGTCTGTGTGTGTATGTGTGTGTCTGTGTGTATGTGTGTGACTGTGTGTGTCTGTGTGTATGTGTGTGTGTGTGAGAGGGAGAGAGTGTGTGTGTGTGTCTGTGTATATCTCGGAGTCTGTGTGTGTATGTGTGTGTGTGACAGACAGAGTGTGTGTGTGAGAGAGAATGTGTGTGTGTGTGTTTATGTGTGTGTGTGTGTGTAATGGAAGACCATCAGAATTTTTAGGAGAGGACCTGTTTTCAGTTGTTCCTTTGACATGGCACAGTCACATAGAGAGTACACTTATCCTGGGTACAAGTGCACACAACGTGTTTATTTGCTATAAAGTCCAACAACAACATCCTTTCTGTAGCTCTTTACTCTCTGAGCAATGACAAATTAAACATACAAACACAAAAAAATCACCAGGTTTGTCCAAAATCCTCCTACAGACTGACCTGAATTTCATTTTCCACCCTGTCAATGACCTTCTCCACCAGCCTTACATCCTGCTCCAGTCGTACAGCTTCCTGAGATTTAACAGTTATTTCCTCTTTCAGTTCCTCTACCTTGATCCTGATGTCATGGCAGGATTTGGCCTCTTGCCATTCCCTCTGAGACCTGACAATCTCTAGATCAGTCTCCAGGTCCTGGGCTTTCAGCAGGCAGTCCCTCAGTTTCTCCTCGCACTCCTCCAGTTTCTCCTTCATTTCTTCCAGCTGCTCCCGGAGCTCTGCCCCATGGAGCTGCTCGGCTTTCAGTTCATTCTCCCAGAATTCCACCTCCTCTGCCTCCGTGCTCCTCTCACCTATCAGCTCCTGGAGCCTGATGATCTCCTCGTGGGTGTTTGGCTCATTGTCTTCCTGTAGCTTTGCGATTTCCATTTCACTCGCCTCCAGCTCAGCTTGGATACTTGTCAGCTTCTGTTGCTGATGCTGCAGCAGCTGGTTCAGCTCCTCTCCCAGATGTTGGTCAGAATTTGAGGCCTTCTTCTCAGGCCCAGGGTCTTTGCCCTTGACCTTTCCTTCCTTGCTCTTCCCAAACAATCCCAGCCACTCTCGAGCCCCTTCAGCAAAATTTAGGGACTTTCTCTTGGCTTCCTTCACATGACTGTTTTTGTCACTTTTACTCCGTAGTTTTGCTAACGGAGGGAGGCTCTGTCTGTGAACACTCCTCTCTGGCCTTCTGTGCTTCTCTGACACAGGCTGCAGGTTGAGGGAAGGCCCGGTGCGGTTTAGTATCAGCTGAACGTCTTTCGTTTGTTGGCCCCACTTACTGAGGGATGGCAAGAGTTTCTCATCTGGTGTGAAATGCCTTTCAATGTCCTTCCACTTTTCCTTTAGAGTGTAGCGCCCAGTGCGGCCTGCAAATTAAATGGAGAAAGAGGGTTGCTAACACCGGGTTTCCATGACATAAGGAAAATGAGATGTGGCTCACAGACCCACCCCAGGATCTTTCAGTGCAGTAGAAAGAAATTGATATAGCACCTTTCACAACTTGCATTTATATAGCAGCTCAGTAGGCTTAAGGCCGGGCAGATAGGAGGGCAATTTGCCCACCCCCTGTAGGTTGGCATGAGGATGGTAGCTAGTCACCCGTCATATTTGGAGTTGTTGGTTGCTTCACTGAGCTGACTGGTTTTCGTTTCATCTCCCTTCTTCATCTTCAGTGCTGTATAGCTGTTTGTTTATCATACCAGTGGTTAAAAACCAGGCTTCCAGGAAGTTTCGTGCTAGGCTTTGCTTTGCTGTCCCAGTGCTGTTACTTTATCCCAGTTAAACTGATATCCTTCTACGCACTGCAACACCCCACAGCTGCACAAAAACGAAGAGGAACACCCAAAAACACCCACAAGAGCAACGGGTTTTCTAACAGCTTCATCTGCCAACGCCTAGCAAATAAACAACAACAAGACACTGTATGCCCCCACACACTGGCCACCCTAAACTATATTAGAAACACATCAGAACTGACTACAAGACTCTTACGACCTCTTGGAATAACAATAGCACACAAACCAACAGCCAGTTACTCTCAAAGACGAAAGACCCTTACCCAAAATAAGAAGGGCAAATGTGATATATAAAATACCTTGCAGCAGCTGCGAGAACCACTACATAGGACAGACAGGCAGGAAACCTGCCACCAGGGTACATAAACACCAACTCGCAGTGAAACAATACAACCAACTCTCCCTCGTTTCAATACACTCCGATGTAGAAGGATATCAGTTTAACTGGGACGAAGTAACAATACTGGGACATGCAAAACAAAGACAAGCATGAGAATTCCTGGAGGCCTAGTTTTCAACCACCGGTGCGAGAAACAAACATGTTGAAATTGCCCCCATCTACATAGCACTACAGTACAAAACTGGAAATGGGATTTCCCACCATGACAGACCAGATCATATAAATTCCGTTCTGAGGAAGGGTCACCAGACCCGAAATGTTAACTCTGTTTTCTCCTTCACAGATGCTGCCAGACCTGTTGAGCTTTCCCAGCAACTTTGTTTATGTTCCATATAAATTCAGAGCAGGACAGAACAACAGCACTAAAGACGTCACCTTGAAGGGAGACAAAACATTGTCACGAAAACCACTCAGTTCGGCAAACCAACCAACAACTCCATCCACAACCCGAGCTACAGACCTTTGCTAAAACATTAAACCCATCATATTTCGAGAGAGCAACAGAGTTAATGTTTCAACTCTGATATGACTCTTCTTCAGAAGTGAAGCAGACCCAATTCGGAAGAAGCCGTACCAGATTTGAAAGTTTCACTCTGTTTCTCTCTCCACAGATCCTGCTGAGCTTCTCCAGCACTCCCTGCGTTTGTTTCACATTTCCAGCATCATAAGTATTTTGCTTATTGCTGCCATGTTTACACTCACCTGCCAAGAACATGCGTTTTTTTTTTGGAGAGGGGGTTGTATTGGGTGAGGTCTGTAAAATGCAGCCTCAGAACTCCAGTGTAAATCTCTAAACTGACATTGTCTGAGGTGATGTCTTTCAGATTAGAAACTAACCTCATCTGACCCTCACGTCTATATTAAAGATTGCATGACACTACATTTTGAAGAACAGCAGGGGAGTTACTCCCAGTGTTTTATGCAAAATTTGCCTTTCACTTAATATTGCAAAATGTGACAAAATTATCTGATCATTATTACGTCTGTGGGAGCTTGCTGGGTGCAAATTGTCTGCCATATGTCCTACAATAGTGACAGCGTTACATTGGCTATACAGTGCTTTGAGCCATCTGGTGGTTGTGAAGGGCACTGTATAAATTCAAGCTTTTTATTCGGGTGATCTGTGGGGCAGATATCATTCGGGCTGTTATGCATGAACACATTCCTGATGAGTTCATTAACTGGCCCGTTACACAACAGCTAAAAAATGACCAGTGATGCTATCAGCTGAGAAATACCAAAAGCCACTTTGTAAGCTGTTCCTTTGTCCATTAATTCAGCGGATGTGAGGATACATTTCAAATAAAGCTGTAATAACACCTGCGTTAAAATAGCAGCCTGTAGAATCCATTACAATTGGGTCAAACGTTCCTTTGTTTGTGACCAATGATGGTGTCCAGAGGAACTCTTCCCCTAGTTAATTGTCCAGTTTAGCTTCCAACTAGGGTGCTCCGATTTTGTTGAGTAAGCTGCAATGCCTGCTGTTTCCAGCAGGTGGGGCAGTCATCACCTTGGCTGACCACTGTGTGACTACATTGGACTAAAATGGCAATATTGGCAGTGAGGGGTCAATGTTGGCAGTGAGGGATCAATATTGGCAGTGAGGAGTCAATGTTGGCAGTGAGGGGTCAATGTTGGCAGTGAGGGGTCAATATTGGCAGTGAGGGGTCAATGTTGGCAGTGAGGGGTCAATGTTGGCAGTGAGGGGTCAATGTTGGCAGTGAGGGGTCAATGTTGGCAGTGAGGGGTTAATGTTGGCAGTGAGGGGTCAATGCACTGAATCCTCTCTATCAATCCGCTGCTGCACCATCTAACTTTGTCAGAAATGTGGAGGGAAGTCCAAGAAAAGTCAGGATTCCAGGGGATGGTTTTTACTTCAACTGCCCCAGAGAAACTAACTGAGTAGTACTACGAGTTTCGCTTTTTATTAAAGCATTCTATTTAAGCCAATCTCTTCTCAGTTTAAAGATTCTTCTCTCCCTCAGAGATGGTGTTGACAACTTTACTATGAATATTCATAACAGACTGTTTCTCAGCATATAAGCAAGGGCACACATCATTTGCCCGATATTAGGCCTCAGGTTTCATTTCAGCAACTGGAGTAAACTGCTAGTGTCACCAGAGGCAGTTTGTCCATTTTAATCCATCCAGTCTGGGCAGCCTGACCCAAAAAGCAGCCTTCTAGTAAACCCCTTGGGTGGGGAGAAAGGGAAAGCAGTGATCGTGGCAGGGCGAGTAGATCTGAGGTGGGCCCCAGGATAAGCAAGCCTGTATCGGTGATGGGGAGAGGATATCTGCTCCTCTTGGCACTATATAACCAGATGGTGCGGCCTGGCCAGAATAGGGAAGACTGACCAGAATTTCCCAATTTCAAAAAGGGATTGTAAAACAAGGAACTATAGCAAGCAGGGAATCAAATGTTAGTTTTAAACAGTGTCTAAAGGCCTAGAATGTCACACAAACCAATATAATTTGCCATTTGGATGTCCTTTTGGCCTAGACTTTATTCCCACGAAATGGTCCTTTTTTGCTTCCATTTTCTAATTCTCCTCCTGCATTAAAAAGGCAGAATACTTCCCCCTTTAAAAACCAGAGACTCCATTATCCGCTGTTGCCAGTAATGTGCAAGGATGGAGCCTATTTCAGCACCCAATGATCTGTTTTTTGGAAAGCAGCTGATTGAATAAGAATAAAACCATCAGAAAGCGTCCTCAGGGATTAGTAGATACATTTGGAAACACCCCATTGGACACAAATTCCTCCCCGATTCCTCCATCCCTTGTGATTCCTAGGCTTTACATTTCTGAAGGGTCAGAGTCACGGGCAAAGCCCATTATCACTTCTCTTCCCACCCCCCACAAACAGTCCACAGTAATTGTGTGAAATGAGGAGAGCACAGAAACAAAATGGAGGAAGTAGACCACTGAGTCTGCTCTGCCATTCAATGAGATCATGGCTGATCTGATAATCCTCAACTCCACTTTCCTGCCTTTTCCCCACAACCCTTCATTCCCTTACAGATTAAAAATCTCTCAATCTCAGCCTTCAATATGATCCAAATCCAACAGTTGTCTGCCATAAAGAATTCCACAGATTCACTGTCCTATGAGAGAAGAAGTTCCTCCTCATTTCTCTGTGTTAAATTGGCAATCCCTTACTATGAGATTATGTCATAGAATCCCTACAATGCAGCTAGAGGCTGTTTGGCCCATTGAGTCTACACTGAGCCTCTGAAGAGCATCCCACCCTATTCCCATTATCCCACAGCTAACCCACACATTGTGAGCAATTTAGCATAACCTACCCACCTAACCTGCACATGTTTGGATTGGAGGAGGAAACCAGAGCTCCTGGAGGAAATCAACACAGATACAGGAGAACATGCAAACTCCACACAGACAGTCACCTGAGGATGGACTCGAACCCAGGTCCCTGGCACTGTGAGGCAGCAGTTCTAAAGACTCAGCCACTGTGCTAACTGCCAATGGTCCTAAATTCTAACCTCTCAGCATCTATCCTGTCAAGCTTCCGAACAATCTCAAATGTTTCATTAAAGCCAATTCTCAATCTTCTAAACTCCAATGAGTACAGACCACGCCCACACCCCCAACACCCAAATCCCCGATATGATGAGGGTGATCCTGCCAGTTCTGATTTGGAATAAAGTCTGAATGTTGAGGGATATAGTTCAGTCTAATGAGGTACCACCCAGCATCAGACAGAGAATACTTTCCTTACCCATGGCCTGTGCCAGGGCTATGACCACCTCTTGGCACGTGGTCTTCTCGTTGACTCCACAGACCACTCTCTGAACTCCGTCCACCCACACCTTCAACTCCATGGTCCAAAGCTCCAGTGGGAGGCTGTGTTAGGTGGTTAGGAGAATGAGGAAGGGGTAAGAGGGAGCCACCTCAATGCTGGACCTTCAAGATGATTCACTGGCCGCTTCTCAGATGGACACTGAACATGTGTCTCACCAGGGTGAAGACAGAATCTGGGAAAAGAAAGTTAAAATTAGAACTTTGAGATTAAACAAATACATTGACTTTTACTGCAAAAAACACAACAAACACCTTTAATGCAATGGTTTACAATTATTGAATGCACAGCCTGTATCTACCACTTTGCTCAATATAAACTCAATGCCCAGTCCTTTGCCATTCTCAATTATATCCATCTCATGTATTTTCTTCAACCCCTTTTTGGACCTACTAGAAGATGTTTGTCCTGGTGGCTCAGTGGTTAGCACTGCTGCCTCACAGCACCAGGGACCTGGGTTTGATTCTACCCTCAGGTGACCGTCTGTGAGTTTGTACATTCTCCCTGGGTCTGTGTGGGTTTGTTCCAGTTTCCTCCCACAGTCCAAAGATGTGCAGGTTAGCTGGATTAGCCATGGAAAATGCAGGGTTACAGGGATGGGGTGGGTCTCGATGGGATGCTCTTCAGGGGCTGGGTGTGGACTTGATGGGCTGAGTGGCCTGCTTCCACACTGTAGGGATTCTATTTTAATACTGGAATCCATAAGACCACACAATGTAGGAGCAAAGATAGACCATTCAGTCTGCTCCACTGTTCAAAGGGAT